GAAAATTGGGTATAATGTAAAAAAAAAAAAAAAAAACTTGAAAAAATATCAAATTGCATTTTCATACATGCAAAAAATGGAAATATAATTCCGTTAGAATTTATTATTCTCGGGAAATAATTATTATTAACATATATATGTCGTTTAATCTAATAAGTTCGTGTTTATTTCCTACATTATTCTAATGATCTCAATAATTCATTTAATTTCCTGCTGACGTTATCGATATCGCGAAAAAGTATCACATCAGTGACATCGATTTTTAGATTTTTTTTTTTTTTTTTTTTACGAAGGAGTTGATGATCTTTCCTTAATCGGGCACCTTTGACATATAACATTATTATTGACCAGATATGTCTTATAATTTAAGCTTACAATATATATATATATATATATGTTATTTCAATTTTGCGAATAATATTATTGGTCGAAAAATGGAGAGAAGAAAAATTTTGTAAAGCAGGTGCAACAAAGGTAACAATAATTCATGCTTCAAGAAACAAGATTCTTGAATAAGAAAGAAATAAAAATACCGTTAATTTTCAATTTTGGAATAAATAAATATTTTACACCTTTCCTCTCCCTTAACTCTTTTCTCCATATTTCGAAACAAATCGCGAATAATTGGCACGACAGACACGAATTCGAATCGATATCCCCACTTATTCGTAAAACATTTCCTCTGTGCCAAATTTATTTTTTAATCTCACGTATACATTTACATACAATATTATATATATATTATTATATTATATTATATTATATAATACAATTATAATATAATATAATTATAAAATAACATAATATAATTATATAATATATAATATAATAGATACAATTATTACTTACTCAATATCGAAGAAATCCCCTTGATAACTTGATTAATCGTTATGAACGATCGGCAGCCTGTCGTAAGGAACACTTCCAAACTTCTTCACACTTTCCACACTTTCCACAATTCGCACAGAAACTCGAGAATTCACCGAGAGACTTTAACACTTGTCAAGAGTTCACTCAGGACTAACATTGAACGACCACCGACTTCTGCTTATGCATGCAAAATTCGAAGGAAAGACTAGGGGATGGGCATGGCTAACGGTATTGTTAAGGGTATTGGTAAAATTGTCAAAATTTCGGATTGGTCAGCTGGTGGAAGAAAGTGAACGATTGGTAGATAAGCAATTAAGAGAAAATGACCGCTAGAAAGGACAAACAAGGTGATATCGCTACCCTTAACCACCTGTCCCGTTATCCTCAGGTAACTAGGAGCAGGTGATAAAGCAATAGAATAAATCTCGGTCATAAATTGTCATAAAAATATGTCAATCTTGTCTGAACTGTTATTGTAAATCATGATATGTGGTTACTTTTAAATTAGGATTATCACGAGTTACTTTTAAATTAGCATTATCATGGGTTGGAAACAGTTAGAATTTTTGACAAATGGGAAAATATATGGGAAAATATATGGTATGCGAAGAAGAAACAAATACATGGGTACGGGTGAACGAAAGAAGAAACAATCTCGATTGTTAAAGGAATTAAAAATAAATATAAATAAATAAATAAATGGGAAACAATTAATTTCTTTGGAATTGCAATTATATTTGACGCGTATTTCAATAAACAATTTGACAAATGATTTGTCGTACGTTATAATTATTGCCCGACTGATTTTTTCGACTTCGTCTCTTCGTCGTTGTAAACATATTAAATTGTTGCACAATCTTTTTTTCCTTTTTTGCCTTATTTTACAACAATAAACAATAAAACTTTCCGCTCTTCGTCATTATATCTTCTCCTTCAATCCTATCCTTATTACCTGCAGCTCCAATTTCATGAAACGTGAAAACAAATTGAACATCTTGTATCATCGTGCATATGTATATATATATATGTAAAACTACATGCACGGACGAAACATTCGTAAGTGAAATAAAAAATTTCACCGGCAGTTAGATACTGTTCTTTATATACATATATCTTTCATAACCTTGTCTCGCAACTTTCTAAGGTTCTAATCTAAAAAAATGCACGGATGAAGCTTTACAGTTATTCAAACCTTAAAACATTCAGTTCCGTGTGATGCGAATAACTTTCCATAATTCTAAATAAGCAATAAAGAAGAATATCGAGAGGACTATGGAATATGACTATGAAAGAAATTCTAGCAATTCGAAACGTGTCTCGTGAATAATTATTTT